CAGGGCCTGAGCCGACCCAGGCTGGAGCCTGGGGGGACCAGCCTGGGCCGCGCCTCCTCCCCTCCCCCCCGTTACCTGCTTCAGGCTTCCCGCGAATTAAATGTTCGCGGGAAGCAGGGGAGGGGGCGGAGACTTTGGGAGGGGGCGGAGTTGGGGCGGGGGCGTGGGCGGGGCTGGGGGCGGGGCCGGGCCGGGCCCCCGGGGAGTGTCCTCCATTTGGAGGCACAAAATATGGTAACCCTATAATTAACGATTCCTAACACTCCTCAGCCAGGGACCGCGGCGCGCGCGGCAGCGGCAGGCACATGAGCTCCCACCTGACAGCTGGGAAACGGGAGCATTGATACTGCAGGGCCAAACACTGCAGGTGCAAACGCCCCCTGAATCCAGATCTAGGGCCCACATCAATGGCCTGATTTTCTGCTGCCCTGAGACTAGAGTCAATAGGACGGATGGGCTCAGCACCTGCCAGCCAGGTCCCTGCCTCCCAAAGGGGTGGGCGGATGCTGGGACCTCCCGTGCCGAGCAGAGCTGGGCTAGCTGGACTTTCCCCAGCAGCGAGATCCAGGGGCCGTGTCTTAGCAGAAGGAGGGCGCAGCCAAGCCCCCCCTCTCTGAGCAGGGGTGATACCCACCTGCCGCTGGAACCTGGGGCCGCCTCGCTGAAACTCCCAGCCGCCCCATAGGCACAGCCAGAGCGCAGCCTCGGGGAACCCCCTGGGGGCAGAGGGGCCGTGGCATGGGGAAGCAGGGAGCCGAGCCCCTCGGGAGAGGCGCCATCTCCCTCTGCTAGGGGGCGCCGGCAGCAGCTGGCAGAGCTATGAGAACCATCATCACACAGCACCCAGGGGCGACCGCCAGGGCCCAGGGCGCTCTGCGTGTCGTGGGCAGGCCGGCTGGGGGTCCAGGAGACCCCAACTGTTGCCTGAGCTGCTCCACCAGGGACCCTCCTCCAGGGACAGCTGGAGACAGGGTGACCAGGGGTGAGAGCGTTCGTCTCGAGCAGGAGAGAGGCAGCGACTGAGAGAAGCAGCCTAAAAGCCGGCGGCGACTGGGGCGGCCGAAGATCCGGCCGCTGCGGTCGCCGCCGAAGAAAATGCCGCCCCACAAATCCTAGTGCCCTGGGCGACCGCCTAGGTCGCTAATACGTTGCACCGGCCCTGCTCAGGGGATGTCTGCACAGCACCTAGACCCCCCGGCGGGGTACGGCAAAGTG